AAAAATGCTTTAAATAGCATTTTAAAACATATCTAGGTATTATAAATGATAAAGAATGCAAATTTCGATATAAAATCGATATTTTTTTGAAAAGAGCCTACTATGATCAAAAACAAAAAATTCTTTAAATAGCATTTTAAAACATATCTAGGTATTATAAATGATAAAGAATGCAAATTTCGATATAAAATCGATATTTTTTTGAAAAGAGCCTACTATGATCGAAAACAAAAAATTCTTTAAATAGCATTTTAAAACATATCTAGGTATTATAAATGATAAAGAATGCAAATTTCGATATAAAATCGATATTTTTTTGAAAAGAGCCTACTATGATCAAAAACAAAAAATGCTTTAAATAGCATTTTAAAACATATCTAGGTATTATAAATGATAAAGAATGCAAATTTCGATATAAAATTGATATTTTTTTGAAAAGAGCCTACTATGATCAAAAACAAAAAATTCTTTAAATAGCATTTTAAAACATATCTAGGTATTATAAATGATAAAGAATGCAAATTTCGATATAAAATCGATATTTTTTTGAAAAGAGCCTACTATGATCGAAAACAAAAAATGCTTTAAATAGCATTTTAAAACATATCTAGGTATTATAAATGATAAAGAATGCAAATTTCGATATAAAATCGATATTTTTTTGAAAAGAGCCTACTATGATCGAAAACAAAAAATGCTTTAAATAGCATTTTAAAATATATCTAGGTTATATAGATGATAAAGAATGCAAATTTCGATATAAAATCGATATTTTTTTAAAAAGAGCCTACTATGATCGAAAACAAAAAATGCTTTAAATAGCATTTTAAAATATATCTAGGTTATATAGATGATAAAGAATGCAAATTTCGATATAAAATCGATATTTTTTTGAAAAGAGCCTACTATGATCAAAAACAAAAAATGCTTTAAATAGCATTTTAAAACATATCTAGGTATTATAAATGATAAAGAATGCAAATTTCGATATAAAATTGATATTTTTTTGAAAAGAGCCTACTATGATCAAAAACAAAAAATGCTTTAAATAGCATTTTAAAACATATCTAGGTATTATAAATGATAAAGAATGCAAATTTCGATATAAAATCGATATTTTTTTGAAAAGAGCCTACTATGATCAAAAACAAAAAATGCTTTAAATAGCATTTTAAAATATATCTAGGTTATATAGATGATAAAGAATGCAAATTTCGATATAAAATCGATATTTTTTTGAAAAGAGCCTACTATGATCAAAAACAAAAAATGCTTTAAATAGCATTTTAAAACATATCTAGGTATTATAAATGATAAAGAATGCAAATTTCGATATAAAATCGATATTTTTTTGAAAAGAGCCTACTATGATCAAAAACAAAAAATTCTTTAAATAGCATTTTAAAACATATCTAGGTATTATAAATGATAAAGAATGCAAATTTCGATATAAAATCGATATTTTTTTGAAAAGAGCCTACTATGATCAAAAACAAAAAATGCTTTAAATAGCATTTTAAAACATATCTAGGTATTATAAATGATAAAGAATGCAAATTTCGATATAAAATTGATATTTTTTTGAAAAGAGCCTACTATGATCGAAAACAAAAAATGCTTTAAATAGCATTTTAAAACATATCTAGGTATTATAAATGATAAAGAATGCAAATTTCGATATAAAATCGATATTTTTTTGAAAAGAGCCTACTATGATCGAAAACAAAAAATGCTTTAAATAGCATTTTAAAATATATCTAGGTTATATAGATGATAAAGAATGCAAATTTCGATATAAAATCGATATTTTTTTAAAAAGAGCCTACTATGATCGAAAACAAAAAATGCTTTAAATAGCATTTTAAAATATATCTAGGTTATATAGATGATAAAGAATGCAAATTTCGATATAAAATCGATATTTTTTTGAAAAGAGCCTACTATGATCGAAAACAAAAAATGCTTTAAATAGCATTTTAAAACATATCTAGGTATTATAAATGATAAAGAATGCAAATTTCGATATAAAATCGATATTTTTTTGGAAAGAGCCTACTATGATCGAAAACAAAAAATGCTTTAAATAGCATTTTAAAATATATCTAGGTTATATAAATGATAAAGAATGCAAATTTCGATATAAAATCGATATTTTTTTAAAAAGAGCCTACTATGATCGAAAACAAAAAATGCTTTAAATAGCATTTTAAAATATATCTAGGTTATATAGATGATAAAGAATGCAAATTTCGATATAAAATCGATATTTTTTGAAAAGAGCCTACTATGATCGAAAACAAAAAATGCTTTAAATAGCATTTTAAAACATATCTAGGTATTATAAATGATAAAGAATGCAAATTTCGATATAAAATCGATATTTTTTTGGAAAGAGCCTACTATGATCGAAAACAAAAAATGCTTTAAATAGCATTTTAAAACATATCTAGGTTATGTAAATGATAAAGAATGCAAATTTCGATATAAAATCGATATTTTTTTGAAAAGAGCCTACTATGATCGAAAACAAAAAATGCTTTAAATAGCATTTTAAAACATATCTAGGTATTATAAATGATAAAGAATGCTAATTTACATATAAAATCGATATTTTTTTGAAAAGAGCCTACTATGATCAAAAACAAAAAATGCTTTAAATAGCATTTTAAAACATATCTAGGTATCATAAATGATAAAGAATGCAAATTTCGATATAAAATCGATATTTTTTTGAAAAGAGCCTACTATGATCAAAAACAAAAAATGCTTTAAATAGCATTTCAAAACATATCTAGGTATTATAAATGATAAAGAATGCAAATTTCGATATAAAATTGATATTTTTTTGAAAAGAGCCTACTATGATCGAAAACAAAAAATGCTTTAAATAGCATTTTAAAACATATCTAGGTATTATAAATGATAAAGAATGCAAATTTCGATATAAAATCGATATTTTTTTGAAAAGAGCCTACTATGATCAAAAACAAAAAATGCTTTAAATAGCATTTTAAAACATATCTAGGTATTATAAATGATAAAGAATGCAAATTTCGATATAAAATCGATATTTTTTTAAAAAGAGCCTACTATGATCGAAAACAAAAAATGCTTTAAATAGCATTTTAAAATATATCTAGGTTATATAGATGATAAAGAATGCAAATTTCGATATAAAATCGATATTTTTTTGAAAAGAGCCTACTATGATCGAAAACAAAAAATGCTTTAAATAGCATTTTAAAACATATCTAGGTATTATAAATGATAAAGAATGCAAATTTCGATATAAAATCGATATTTTTTTGGAAAGAGCCTACTATGATCGAAAACAAAAAATGCTTTAAATAGCATTTTAAAACATATCTAGGTTATGTAAATGATAAAGAATGCAAATTTCGATATAAAATCGATATTTTTTTGAAAAGAGCCTACTATGATCGAAAACAAAAAATGCTTTAAATAGCATTTTAAAACATATCTAGGTATTATAAATGATAAAGAATGCAAATTTCGATATAAAATTGATATTTTTTTGAAAAGAGCCTACTATGATCAAAAACAAAAAATTCTTTAAATAGCATTTTAAAACATATCTAGGTATTATAAATGATAAAGAATGCTAATTTACATATAAAATCGATATTTTTTTGAAAAGAGCCTACTATGATCGAAAACAAAAAATGCTTTAAATAGCATTTTAAAACATATCTAGGTATTATAAATGATAAAGAATGCAAATTTCGATATAAAATCGATATTTTTTTGAAAAGAGCCTACTATGATCGAAAACAAAAAATGCTTTAAATAGCATTTTAAAATATATCTAGGTTATATAGATGATAAAGAATGCAAATTTCGATATAAAATCGATATTTTTTTAAAAAGAGCCTACTATGATCGAAAACAAAAAATGCTTTAAATAGCATTTTAAAATATATCTAGGTTATATAGATGATAAAGAATGCAAATTTCGATATAAAATCGATATTTTTTTGAAAAGAGCCTACTATGATCAAAAACAAAAAATGCTTTAAATAGCATTTTAAAACAT